CTCCTCCTCCTCCTCCTCCTCCTCCTCCTCCTCCTCCTCCTCCTCCTTCTCTCGCGAGCGGGTGCGCTGCTTGGGGCCGCGGGCAGCGCCCGAGCTGCAGAGGGGATGCCGCGGAGGGGGCGCCGCCGCCAGAACCGGCGGCCACGGGCGAGGGCGGGGGGCGGCGGCCGCGGGCGAGGGCGGCCTGAGCCGAGCCCGCCGCGGAGGGGGGGGCCAGGAGAGCAGAGTCGGGGCGTTGACCTACGGTCCCAGACCTCCTCGAGTCATGAAAAAATCACGACGGGAGGTTGTTCTCTATTTTCCCCCTCTGGAGGTCCTCACCGGGCCGCGGGAGCGTCGAAAAACGACTCAGGATGAAAAACCGGTCATATGGAAAGGGTCTGGACCTCTGGGGGTCGCGTCATGAAAAAATCATGACGTCGGGGGTCTGGGGTGGGAAGACGACATGTTGCAAGTTGTTCCTGGCCGCGCACGGCTGCGCCTACATTGCGACGCCACCTCGACGCTGTTTCTCGGAACGATCATACAACGCTCGATATTTTGTCCGCCCACTGTGAGGAACCCTAAATAAGGAACGAGGCCCCTTTGTTCCAGAAGTTAAACTTCGATTTCCCATCGAAAACCTAAGGACAACCTGAGGCAAGCTGTGAAACAGGCAAGGAAGACCGAGCCCCTCCCCAACAAAAAGGGCTCCTTCTTCAGCGCCTCGACTGTAGGGGGGAGGGGGGCGAGGAGAGCAGGGGGGGTGTTGACCTAAGGAACCCTAAATAAGGAGCGAGGCCGCTTTTTCCAGAAGGTAAACTTCGATTTCCCATCGAAAACCTAAGGAAAACCCAAGCCAAACTGCAAAACAAGCAAGGGACCAGGAGAGCACAGTCGGGGCGTTGACCTAAGGAACCCTAAATAAGGAACGAGGCCCCTTGATCCCAAAAGTCAAGCTTGGATTTCCCATCGAAAACCTAGGGAAACCCTAGGCAAACTGTAAAACAATTCAAGGAGCACCCAGCCCCTCCCCAACGACAAGGGTTCCTTCTTCGGCGCCCCGACTGTAGGGGGGATGAGGGGCGAGGCAAGCGAGGTCCGCTCGCGCCACATCTGCCATCCCCTCCCTCCCTCCCTCCTGTCCGTTCCCACTGCGGTGATGTTTGCCCCCATCCGCGGACGCGTCAACGTCGGCCTGGGCTTCCAACAAAAAGACCCCATCGTGCTATGCGCAATCGGACAAGGGGAGCTGCGCGCGTGGGAGGAGCAAGAGAAAGAGGAGGACGGGGAAGAGGATGATGATGAGGAGGAGAAGGAGGAGGAGCAGGAGGAGGAGGAGGAGGACGAGGGGGAGGGGGAGGGGGGGGAGGAGGAGGAGGAGGAGGAGGAGGAGGAGGAGGAGGAGGAGGAGGAGGAGGAGGAGGAGGAGGAAGAAGAGGGAAAGGACGAGGATCTGGAAGGAGGAGGACGAAGACGAACAACAGCACAAAGGAAGTGAAACGGAAGGAGCAGGAGGAGAAGGAGGACCAGGGTTAGGCGGAGGAGAAGTGAGGAGGGCGACAAGGATGAAAAATAACGCGTATCCAGAACAGTGGCCAACGCTGGGGCGAGAGCGCCATTCTGAGCAACGGGAGCAAATCGCCGATCCGAGGATGATGCCCCACGCTTCATCGGGAACACCATGTACAAACAAACTGCGTTAGCCAACGCGCGCCCCAAAACCGTGCCTCGAGCAATACGAGCTACGTGGTGCAGTTTAAAGTGGAGCAGCTAGTGTGGTGCACTGTGCATTTTGCAATATGTGCCGCGCGATCTACGACGTGCAGTCCATGTTGTACAATATATACGTATGTGGTTCCGTAGACGTGGCGCAATCTATGTGATGCAATTCACTTTGACTGTCTTGAAGCTGTCCTCTCAACTGCTCGTGCAACCATCCCACCCTCCCACCCGCAACTTGGTCGCAAAACCTCTTAAGACCGTGACGGTAGGTATCAAATGGCACTTGGCAACGACACCGACGCCGACAACGACAGCGACAACGACGACGACGACGCCGACGACGACAACGACGACACCGACGACGACTCCGACGACTTCGACGACGACAACGACGACAACGACGACAACAACGACGACGACACCGACGACGACGACGTCGACGCCGACGACGACGCCGACGACGACGATGACGCCGACGACGAAGACGACGACGTCGCCAACGAACACGACGACGACGAGTGAGGGAGGACGACGCCGCCGACGCCGACGACAACGACGAGGGAGGAAGGAGGACGGCGACGACGCGAACGTCGAAGAAGAAGGGATGACGGCGACGCCGACGACGACAACGACGAGGGAGGAGTGAAGACGACGACGACGATGAAGACGACGTCGACGAAATAGTAGGGGCGACGGCGAAAACGCCGACGACGGACGACGACGAAGACGAGGGAGGAGGAAGGACGACCACGGGGACAACGACGACGGAAGCGACGACGACGCCAAAGAGGATGACGACGACGACGACGAGGAAAGACAGAGGACGACGACGGCGACGACGACGATGAGGGAGGGAGGACGGCGACGACGACGACGACGACACAACAGCGCGCGCGCGCACGACTTTGTTGAACATCCGTGTTGCGAAACCTGGTGTTTTTATATGTTTTTGGACACACGAATTTTAAATCTTTCCGAAATCGACGGTTTTTGAAGGATTCCGGCATGCGCGCGCGACGACGCGCGCGTCTGCACTTCGTCCCGTTTTTTTGCAAAAGATTATTGCGACGGCGCGCGCGCAAGGGCGTTCGAATGATTTCGGCATGCGCGCGCGAAGCCCGTTTGGTAGCATTTTTTGAAAACCTTGAAAAACCTATGGCTTTCTTAAGACATCGCAAGAGTGCGCGCGTAAGCTTTTTAGAACATATGTGTTGCGAAAGCATGTGTTGTTGTATGTTTTTTTTGGAAACTCGATTTTGAAATCCTCCCGAAACCGAAAGTTGTTGAAGGATTTCGGCATGCGCGCGCGACGACGCGCGCGTGCGCATTTCGTCCCATCTGTTGCAAGGGATTCTTGAGCACTTATGATTTTCTGATAAACGAGAGCGCGCATAGTATTTCTCGTGCAGAGGATGGCGGGGGGGAATGATGCCGGCCTGGCTGGGATAGTACGACTTCATACTTAGGATGGACAGTGGGGCTGAATCGCATGTAAATTGCCATATGAAAAAGGGAACCGTTAATCCGGGGGGGGGGGAGCGTCTATTCCTTCTAGAAAAAGGAATCTACGTGGAACAATCTAGTTTGTGAATTGTATGCGATGTAATGTGGTGCAATGGAATTATGTTCGCAGCGAGTTGTCCACTCCACTGCTCGCGCAATCATCCCACCCACCCACCCGAAACTTGGTTTGCAAAAGCCATGCGGCGGCGATTGCGATGAGTGCTTGAAGTTGGCTGGTGCATCTCTGCGGGCGCGCTGGCCCGCGCATGTTCGCGCGCGCAGCGGCTAGATAGTTTGGCGCTGCCGACGCGGCCGCAGTGGCGCTGACCACTAGGCCCTTCCCACCGGGCACTTCAGTGCGAGTCGTCGCCTTGGGCGGGCGCGGTATCATGGCAACGTCGGCAACGGTAGACGCAACGATGAGATGATGGCAGCGATGCTGGCGATGATGATGACAACGACGACGGCAAAACCAGTGACGGCGCCGATGTTGATCACACCGGCGACCGATGTCGGCGCCCTCGCGTCGGTGATGAAGGTTTTAGACGGAGTTCAATGTGCGCGCGCGGCAGCCGACGCGCGAGCGGCCCGCATGGAATTATTTGACGACGCGGATCGCGCCCCCCCCTCCCCCCCCAGCGCGCGCAAGGGCGCTCGAATGATTTCGACGTGCGGCGCGAGGGGCCCGCTTGGCAGAATTGAGTGAACCTGTTGAGCAGTTTATGGTTTCCCCAAAAAGTCGCTGGAGCGCGAACGCATGCACTTTTGGAAACCGATGCTGGAAAACCATGTGTGCTGCATGTTTTCGGGGCACTCGATTTTAAAATCTTTACGAGGCCCTCGAGTTTGCGAAGGATTTCCGCATGTGCGCGCGACGACGCGCGCGCGCACTTCGTCCTCTTTGCGCCAGGGACTCTTGCG